TGATTTGTTGCTTCAGGGCTGCAATTTAGATCTTAAATGAAGTATACAATCTTCTTCTTCCATTTGTTTTCCACATGTTGTGTGTAGGAGGAGGTGACCACATGTTGTGTGTAGGAGGAGGTGAGTTGTGTGTAGGAGGAGGTGACCACATGTTGTGTGTAGGAGGAGGTGACCACATGTTGTTGTGTCCACATTATCTGCAGACAATGCTGCTTTGACTCCTGAACATGGGGAGAAAACATACGGGTCTGTACACTAACACAACCTATTGAGTTACCAGTAATGTGATGAAACATTCGGCATACCCCTACCTCTCCTGCAGTTACCTATATGTACTTCAAAATGTAATTTTGTACCAGAAGCTTCTAGAACAAGTGCCAAGACTTGGTTACCTTTACTAAAGAGAAGTCGTGCTTCCTACAATGCTGGCTGCAGCCTCCTGGCTCTGAGCACATCCTGATGGGACATATTATGGATTCCGACCAGGGCTGGTCTCCAAACAGTACCCTCTAGTAAGAGGCCAGGAATAGCACAGATGGATGCAAAGCCAGAATACATATGCAAATAAAAAGTTTTCTAGGGCAGCCTTTCTCAACCAGAGTGCCCAGACAAAATGTCTAAAATTGCCCAAAACTTGTATACAAGCCAGAGGGTGGAACAAGCCTGCCTTTTGGTTACACAAAGCCACAGGCGTTCATTGTGCGCCATTACCACCTTCTAGCCGCCAGCATCCTGACAACCAATGACATCATCAGTTGATAAGGAGGATGTCAGCTGCCTGCACAGCATCCTAGTTTGACCCTCCCCTGCCCCTCTCCATCAGTGCTGGGGTCACATCAGCTGAGTGATGGAGAAAAACTGAGGGAGAAGAAAAACATGGGAATACTAGTCAATACCAGTGTGCAAAAGTGTATTTGCTTTGAAAGAATAAATCACCTCTAATGTTGGGTGTCCTACATGTGTGGATGTTGCTGCGTTATATAAAACGATTAGAATAGTTTTTCACATTTTAGAATGAGGTGCCTCAAGACTGTCCATAATTTTAAAGGGAGCCTCGGAACTGTCCATAATTTTAAAGGGAGCCTCGGGACTGTCCATAATTTTAAAGGGTGCCTCGGGACTGTCCATAATTTTAAAGGAAGCCTCGGGACTGTCCATAATTTTAAAGGGTGCCTCGGGACTGTCCATAATTTTAAAGGGAGCCTCGGAAATTTTTAAAGGGAGCCTCGGGACTGTCCATAATTTTAAAGGGTGCCTCGGGACTGTCCATAATTTTAAAGGAAGCCTCGGGACTGTCCATAATTTTAAAGGGTGCCTCGGGACTGTCCATAATTTTAAAGGAAGCCTCGGGACTGTCCATAATTTTAAAGGAAGCCTCGGGACTGTCCATAATTTTAAAGGAAGCCTCGGGCTGTCCATAATTTTAAAGGGTGCCTCGGGACTGTCCATAATTTTAAAGGCTGCCTTTACTGAAAAAAGGTTCAGAAACACTGTTCTAGGGTAACACATAGTCTGAGGACGCCATCAAAGAAAGCCTATCCTGATATACACAGGTGGCCATCAGTGACCTCTTCTGAAAGATATTGGGTCCCTGGCTTCACAAATTTAAGACACTGAACAGGTTTGCAGAGCCAGATCTTGTGACCCTGAAGAATGTGTTTCTGATTTGTAACAAGTTACTAACTGCATTTGATTAACATACAACCAAGAACCTTGCATTTTCAGAAGGCGGTCAGCACTGGCAGCCTCCAGCTTTCTCACTGAAGGTTCTTTTAGTACAGGGACTGTACAGATGCTTTCAATACTAATCCCCGCTTCACATCTATGCAGTCATGCGGGCTGCATTTTGTACGGGTACGAGATCCCATTCATTTGAATGGACTCCCGTGCCCGTGACACGCAGGGAAAGAAGTCCCTGCACTTCTTTGGGAACCTCGGTTCCCAGTACGGTTGCGTCTTCCAATATGGGCGGCCTGCCATTAAAACTAATGGCACCCGCCCGCGGGTCCGCATTTCTCTGTGCGGGTGGTGCGGCTGCACGGATTTTCGTGCGGATCCGCAGCGGCACCACCTGCACAGATGTGAACCTAGGGTAAGTCCTAGTTTCCAAAATGGCCACCCACCATGTCTATTCTGCATTGGAACAAGTCAGCACTAGTGCCCTCTGAGAAAGAACACTACAAATCCCATCTTAAAATCCTTTGGCTCCTGTGCATTCAACTGTGTAGTGCCTATGGCACTCGCGGCCATTCATTGGGCAGCAAAGCATCCTTGCTGGGGACACAAGACTGATCTATTCACCCAGGTTTATAGCAACACTTGACAAATCCTTCCCAGCAAAGAACCCAACACCAATGTACTGAGCACTTTAAGTCTGAACATAGGTTATCTTTTTAAAAACAAAAAAAAAATAAAAACGTACACACTAGCTGATTCCTCCATCCGCACAAGCAAGGTAGACGGAGGAATCCACCCTGCTGTGCCATCATATTATATCCTGACTGGGGATTCCTCTACAGTCAGAATACACCAATCAGCACTGCAGCTGCTCAAATTAAAATGTTCCAATATTACCGTTCACCAGAATACAAGCGTTAGAGCGACTTCTGTGAAGCGGAACAGCCATTGACGGATCAAAATCTGGTCAGTCTCTGCTGAACCGGCCAAGTTTCCGTCCACATCTGGCCAGTTTTAGTCACCTTGGAGAAAAGTTCTATAGAAATATTACTAAATGAAGTACTGGGATGTCTTTTTATCCCAGGGGCAGACTGACCATTTGGAAACTCGGGCACTGCCCGAGGGCCCGGGGTCAGTAGGGGGCCCCATGAGATGCCCCGGGTACCTTTTTCATAGGCTTTTTTGAGTTTGGGCAAGGACACAGGGGCCCCCATGATCCCCTATTGGCCGGGGGCCCCATGAGTTGTCAGTCCGACCCTGTTTTATCCTTTACAATTTGAAAAGTTTCCTAGTAGCTCAGGTATAAGATATGGTAAAACAGTGATGTCGTCAGTAAACCACAGAGGGCCCTGAGCCCAGGTTCACACTGATGTGGTGTGGAATTCGCAGCGTTTGTGCAAATTGCGCACCACATCAGAATCACACCCCGTTCATACGAACCGCTGTAGGTGTGTATGTTAACAACAACCCGAAGGTGGTCCGCAAAACGCAGTGCGATGTGCAGAATCGGATCACATAGGTGTGAATACCCATGCGATCCGATTCTAGTGCGGACCCAAAAAAGGGTCCTGCACGTTTTTGGTGCGGGTGCAAATAGATGCATACAAAATGTACGGCTCCAATCACACCGCACACAAACTGCATGTGATTTGCACAGAAAAGCGGTGCGGTTTCTGTGTAAATCATATGCAATGTTCCGCACTGCATGTATGTGAACCCAGTGTCAAAGTGATCACCTAAGTGTTAAAGTATTGCCCATTTATTTTAGCCTGCCGGCCCTTTAAGAGTTTCAGAAGCCAGGAAGCGAGCGGGGTTTTAGGGTCACGTGACCACCGTGATTTGCCGTCACATGATCGGTAAAAGTCTCGATCACAAGGGGAGATCGGGACCTTTCTGTGAGTCACGTACATGTGTGCTGGAGGCACACGCTCTCACCACATATGTATTTTCTATTGGCACGGAAATATGTGGCCACTCGGCGTCAAGGGGTTACATTAGTGAAGAGCACAATTAAAAGGTTAAGTTCACCTTTTAGGGTGGAACATCTAACATGGTTCAGCATCAGCAACCGCAACCTGTGCCAGCGGGCGGGGGATCTTCGCTGACACGCTTTGAAACCAGCACAGCTGTGCGATTCATTTACAGTATCCTGTGAATGGACGGACTACAAGTACCATCAGTCGATACAGCTGACAGCTTGTAGTTCTCCATGAACTACAAGGGCGCTGATGAGCACTCCCATAGTCCATTGGTCTTTCTTGCTTTCAGGTAACTGCCTGCTCATACATGGTAAGGACAGACAGTATTCCTTAGAGTCTGCAGGTGTCTGACATTGCAACTGCGATCTGATGATTGCGACCGCAATGCTCTGCAGGCTCCTTACAAAATAAACATTTTTTTTACCTGCAAAAAAATGTTTTTATTTTCAAAAGTTGAACTTGGCCTTTAAAATA